TTAATCTTTATTTTTGGTTTTATTAACGTTTTGAATAAAACTTCAAAATGTTTTGACTTGTACGATTGAGAACTTTTTTGAATAACCAATATCTCCAACAATGTAATGTGCGATTAAAATTTGGGTTCTCATTAATAACTTTCATTTTTCCTTCAATTTTCACTTCGTTATAGGGAGATTTAAAAAATGTACTTACGTATTCTATATAAAATTTTGAATATATTTTAAAAAAATCAGTTAATACGTTTTGCGTTCCAATTACCAGAGGAAATTTATAGGAAAACTTTTTGTTACAAATATTGACATTCTCTTATTTAAGCCCGAGGAAAAACGGTTGTATATCTTTCAAATATAACGAACAAGGACATTCGGTTGACTCACTTCAATCCTATTCTAAGAATACGGTATTTGAACCCCATTTACCACAAAAGCATAACAGGTATTAGTCCAAATGGTGATGGTTATCGTTGTAAGGAAAAAGATTTAATAGAAAAAATGGGACTTTAATTACTGTACTTGGTTAAAATTTGAAAAAAGTTGCAAATAAATTTATATAAAATGAAGCTCATTTTTGAGAATTTTATCGTCATGGGATAACCATGTATGATTTTGAATCGAAATCACAGAGGTACCTATTATAACATAAGTGTTCACATACTTACTCTTTTAATATTATTTTAATAACTCTGATTATCTCATGTGTACGAGTTACATACCAGCTACATCTCAGTGAAGTTGTTCCAGTTGCTCAAAATACACAATTTATTAATTTATGTCAAAATCGAGAGAATTCTCTTTGAAATTATGTTTGATTTTGGGTTTCTTCATATGTTGTTTCAAACATATTTAGTTTAAAATCGAATGATTAACACATTATTTTAGTATTAACAACCACACATACTATTTTGGAACAAATGATAGTACTTGACGTTTAAATTGTTGTTGTTTAAGGTGACAACATTGCAGGAATTAAGCACAATAATAAATCAAACAAGGGAAAGCTGTCTGAAAAAAACAAAGAAAGAAATAATTTACCCTTATTCGAAACAAACTTTGTTGCTCAAATCGCAAATAACGTTAATTTGTTTAATATTCCATCAAGGTTTTCTTAATTTCATCACAATTATCACAGTCCTAAGACTGGTTGGACACACACCTGTACTTTTTCCTATTTTCTTTTCTTCATTTGTTGGTTGATATTTCATTTAATATTAATAATAACGATTTCCGTATTAATATAAAATTGAAATATTTCCAAAAGAGAATACATTTCGTTAGTTCGGATAACCTCACTGAGACGGTTCTTGTACAACAAAATTATATACAATAAGTATACGGATTTTAGCAAGGTATAATAAGCAGCGTTACATGGCCCAAAAAACCCTTGTGGACCGTCGGTTCCTTTGTTTTCTATCCTATTTTATTACATTTACCACATAATATTGCAACATATTCGACATACGCAATGCGTTTTTGCGTTAGCTCTGTTATGTTACGCATTCGAAACTTGGAAGCTTGGAACGCATTTATAGATCGAATACCTAGTTCGAAACTGCATTCTGGGGATACGATCACACACCCTTACCAACACATACACGCATATACTGAATATACACACGGATATAGGTGAGCGCGTGTATTGTTTCGTGTGTGTTTCACGGGGGGTTATTGCGGTGGTTACACATGTGTATGTACGCATATATGTATACACACACGCATGCCATACCATCATGGCGCACAAACATCCACCATAGGCGAGTACCCTTAAAGTAACTTATGCACACGCACACATTCGCATGGCACAGCTGTAAATTGGGTCGGTTCCATATCGTACGCAATGTAGGGGTAGGTTCGCAGAGAACCTGGACTGCTACATGCACACGTATATGTACGTGTGTGCGTCCGCGACAAGATATGACTCTGGGGGTAGTTGGAGTAGATGCTGAACTCGCACTGGAACTGAATAATTAAAGGCGGCTGTCATTGCCATATCGCCTTTTTTAGAAGAAATTGTTGAGTTCTTGCAGATACAAAACTGGACAAAGAACATGGGTGGTGAAATGAAAAATTTAATCGGTGGTAAAATCAAGCGTTTTGATTCCCCGACAAAAAATCCCTGACAAAATATCCCGAGACAAATTATATCTTAGCCAAAATATCACCTGACAAAATATCCTTAACACAAAATAACTAAAGGCGGCTGTCAGACTGTCAAAGAAACTGTTTAGCGTCTCTGAACGAGAGACTCGAGTCGCTCGTAAAGAGATCCTCATTTCGTATCCGGTCTCTGAACGAGAGACTCGAATCTCTGAACGAGAGACTCGAATCTCTCAATAAGTGGTGTCTCGATAGACATGGTTAAAATTTTCAAAAGTTCAACATATTTTAGAGATTCCAGTCTTTCTACGAGAGACTCGAATCTCTGATTTAACAATTTTATTGTTCGAGTCTCTCATACAGAGACTGTGAGAGATCCATAAAAACACCTAGGCAATAACTGAGAGACTGTGAAAGACTGAGAGACGCTCTCAGAGACGCTAAAAGACTGAGAGACTGGAGAGAGACTGAAAATTTTTGTCTAGGGTGATGAAATGAAAATTTTAGTCAGTGGTAAAATAATGGGTATCAAGCGTTTTGATCCCCGACAAAATATCCTTAAGACAACATATGAATTATGTTCATAATATGTTATATTATATTCCATAAATTTACATATTTTCTCTTAATTTGTTGCAGTTTTTTATTTTGTTAGTGAAATATTTCGTTATCGGGATATTTTGTCTGAATTTTTTTTTTTCTTGGAGATACAGTGTAAACTCTATATAACGACACTTAAGAGACTGAACATTTTTCGGCGTTACAAAGAGTGGTCGTTAAATGGAGAGAAATAAAAGATATTATTTTACTATTCTATAATAATATGCATTTACCAATATAGTACACATTTTGCACACGAACATTATTATTCATACATTGCGTATAGCCTGTTATCTTCGTCTGATGTTTTTTGCTGCTCCAATATTTTAATTGTATTTTGTTACGTATCTTACTCATATCTTGAGATACTGCTGGATCAATTTGATTATATAAAAAGTATTTTTTTAATAGTTTCGCTGCATCAAGTGCTTGTTTGATGCTTGGTGGAGGGACAGGATCGTCTTCTTCAACAACGTACACAGCTGCAGTTCTTATCTATTTCGGCAACTTAGAAAGTACTGCTCAATGATTTATAATGCCGCATTGTTGTCGTTAAATAGAGTGAGCGTGACGCTATATAGAGTGTAATATTGTATAGAAAACAATGTAAACCAACCAAAGTCAAGCAACTTCGACGTTTTAAGGAGTTTATCGTTAAATCGAGTGACGTTATAAAGAGTTTACACTGTATTTTGTCGGGGATTTTTTGTTGAGGAATTAAATATCATGGAACCAAATCATACAAAGATTTTGTAACTTCTTGAGGAAGATCCTAAGAGGTATCGCGTAGCAAAGATTGTAATATGGAAAAGTGCATGGTGATGCAATGCTCTTAACTGAATCTTAAGAAAGAAATGGTGATGTAGGAACTACAATCATAGGATGGTAAAGAGCAAAATACGAAAATTATATCTTATTCATAGCGAAATTTAGAGATACATGTGCGTATACATTCCATTTGCTGGATAAATCGCAAAGGACTAGATTTGGGGATGTTTGTGTAGTATTAGTATTTTGCGGAAATAAAAACAAAAGAAACAGGACAGTAGATGATAAAAAATATACGAAAATAATCGAAGGCGGCTAGCATTGCTAAATCGCCTTTTAGAGAAAATTCCCGAGCTCATGCGAATAAAACCGGAAAAAGAACATCAATAGTGGAATGGAAAATTCTTTCAGTGATAAAATTCATACAAAGATTTGTAAATATAAAAAAATGCGAAGTGATGTGTTCATAACAGGATTTAAAAAAAGAAAATGGTGATAGAGAAATTATAACCATATGAAGGTAAAAAGTAAAATATGAAATGATGTCCTATTTATACATTTAGAGAAAATGTAGATAAGTCTGAGAAAATTGCAAAAGTGGATCGGGAAGTCTATTATTTAGTACAGTAATTAAGAAAGCATGAGTTATATAGGTATTCTGTCTATGGCTAGATTTGAAAGTGATAGTGAAAATTTGAAATCGTACTATGGTCATATACGCCCATTCTTTTAATTCGGTTTGTCATTTCATGAAAAGTCCGAACATTTCATGAAAGCTACCGGACACAAAAGTAAAACATTAGTTGCTTCTCAAATTGCGTTAAGCTAACTCCATGAGACTTTTCAAGTAATTTTTCAGATCCTCTTTGCGTTTAGTAAGCCGAAAAATAACTTTGTGGTTCTTAACAAAATATTAACAACTGAGGAAGTAAAAAGATGTAATAGATAGAGGTAAAATGGAAAAATGTGAAATAATACCTATTTAGCAAAAAATATGAAAGTTTAAGCAAATGTACATTTTTGCTCTTACAATAATAGCAATAGAGAAACTAAAAATAAGGTGTGGTTATAAAGAAAATTATGCAATGCATTCTGTTAGTAGCGAAAGGTTTAAGGAAAATCGCGAAACTGTTTGAGAAACAGCAACAAAGAAAATATATGGAGTAATAAAAAAAAAGGTATACAGCACACCGTAGTCATAGCAAAATTTAACCAAAACAGAATGTACCTACAAAAATAGAATAGTGGTAATATTTAATAAAAATCGTACTTTCATTAGCAACAAAATTCAAGAGTGATTATTAAAAAAAGTATATTGTTAATAAAAATTTCAAATAACATTACCTACCGCAACATCGCACATATTATTTTGCTCTCTCCGGGAAAAAGCTGATCTAATTGAAAGAAGTCTTTCGGAGTTACTCAGGAGTATGTACATATTTAAGAAACTACGTGTAAAAAGAGAGAAAAAACAATCTTCTACTGTAGAAGGAAATGTTCATGAAAATTTAAAGATACATTTATTGAAGACTAACCTTTTTCTCAGTCAACTTCTCGCAACGCCTCTGCTTGCAGATCTGATGGCTCTTGTCGTTTCGACACGGGGCACAATCACCACAATTGTCTTTCCTTTGGCAACCGATACATTCACCACACCGTTTCCGTTTCTTTTTTACCTGTTTGTCCGGATTACCTCCACTGATATCGTCGTGGTCAAGACCACCCCCGCCCGACAACGGATGGCCCTTGTATCCCGCGGTACTAGACACGGACGCAACTTGTCCCGAATTCTCCGAGCCCATTTCCATGTTGCTCGAGGCACCGTCACTTTCCGCGGAACTTTCCATACTATTAGCGCGAATTTTCCTACGTTCTTTCTTACGGAAATCATTACGAGTCGGAGAATCGATCACATTGTTCATGCCGTTCAGTTTTTTATCGAGTCCGTTATACAACACGTTATTATCGAGCACGGTAGACATCGGATTCTGAAACTGGGTCGGGTGGAGACTCACGTTCTGAATCTTTAACCCGGTATCTTGAAGGTTTGTCAAGTTATGACCTAACTTCAACTCTGACATACTGGCAGGTTCAGACTTGAGTACCGTGACCACCGTCGGTGGTGTTATCAGTTGGCTGTTTTGTATAATTGTGCCGTTTTGTGCTGGAAATATGCTAGCGGAATGTATGGTATTACCCAAGGTGGTAAGACTAGTTGTGGGATGGGTGTACAGCTGTATATGACGTTCATCCAAAAACTGCTGTTGAATGGACGGTATTTCGCGGGCTTGTATCGGTGCTGGTACCAGAGGGTAGTTTCGTGTATTGACCGCGCTTAACGTGTGAAAATTAGTGTTGAGGGTTGTTAAACTATGACTACCGGGACTAGCAGAATTAGGCGAAACGGGCGTTAGATTGGTTAAGGTGGTCAACGTGGTCGCTTCGCTTGCGGTAACGGGGGATGTTTCGTTAAAAGACTGAAACTGCGACTGGAATGAAGGAAGTTTTGGCATGTTGCTTTGGGCAAAAGCGTCCGCGAATGTTGTTATTGGAGTTGTTGGAGTGAAACTTTGACGCAGAGATTCCTGAGACGTCGAATCGACAGGCTTCGATTCCCAGGGTCTGTATTGGGGTTGCGAAGAGATTGCTGTCAAGCCGTTTTCGGTACGTTCCAACAACCTGGCCTCCCCATAATAATCCCAACTTGAAATATCCAATAAACGAGTATCTCCGAACAAACGATCCGACGAATATCCAGAAGTTGCATCCATATCCGCTGAAAACGTGGAAAAAGGTGGAAGATTGGAATTGGGAGCATCCTGTACCGTCGAGTTGGGAGTGGCGGGTGTCGGGGAGTACGTTTGGGCCAGGTTGTACCCAGTACCTAAGTTCTCTGGGTCCTGGCTGAGAGTTTCACTCATTTTGTCATCGTAACTTCAGTCTCATGTGTAGCCGATACAACATGTTGTTCGTTTGTATCTACCGAAGTTTGCACACGCCGTAATTAGGTTATTGTCATCATTGAAACCTGATTTTTCGCTGAGATAGTTGAAGGATTCACGAGGAAGGAAGGAGCTGCGTTTCAGCCTTTATATTTGTACTTCATGGACTTTGTACTATTATTCTTTAATACGTTATAAAAATATCATTTCTCCTTTACTTCATAAAAATAGCTATATTGGTTGCTGACGAAGATCTGAAAAAATAAAAAATAAGATTTGATACTTGATCATAAAGCTCAAAATAAAGCTGAAAATAAAGACAACAACCTTATTTTGGCCCACATTCTACATATTTACGACAACCACGTTCTAGATGCTGCTAATACTTCGCAGTGATTTGATAGCAATTGTAAAAACTTAATTATTTTTCGTAATTTTTAACAGTATTCCATACGTAAAATTAATATATTAGAAACTTACTGTACAATAATTTACCTCTACTTTAAAAACCCAAGGGAATTTAATACAGGATTGTCAATGGTTTTCTGGACACTGCTTTTTCTTCAAAGACTTAAATTATTCTGACAGAAATGTTAGACATGAGTTGCGTTGCGGGCTTTCCCTCTCATCATCACGCGTAGTTGTTATCATTAAACCGCGTTCAGTGTATAAGTACAAACAGCGTAGTGAACGCCATCTATTGAAATTTGCCGTGATAGACACATGTCCAAACAGAACAAAAAATTAATTTTGGCAAGTCGATATCCTTATTAGAAAACGACCTTGTCAAAATTATTAAATCCCACAGTAAAAGCAGTAAATCTATAGATCGCGTTCACTATGGATAATGTATGGATAAGACATTTAAATATTATCTATCGCCTGAATTAATGTTTTATAATGTTTCATTGAAAGTTATTGTCTTAATATAATTCAAAAACCCTTCAAGCACTTTTCTTCTGTTGGTCTATTAATGCTTAGGCAATAAATTTTAAATTCTGGTGGCAATTGAAATTTTTAATTGTCCCAATTTTAGTATAAGTTTAGCTTCTTTGGTGCAAAGAAAAGGGTGGATGAATATTAAAGTATAGTCCCTAGTTATGCTATTTGCATAACTTATTTCTGTCTCAAACTTGGGGTGAATATATTCCCTACCAACGACGAATCGTTCGTGTTCCGATAGCGTCCAATTTGGCACAAAAGATCCTTATTGATAATTCATTGAATAATCCAAATCGTTGTCGAAATTTTACAAAATAATAATAATATTATTATACAGAGTGTAACAGAAATAAGGGCCAAGCTTGCAAGAGGTGATACAGCACTATAAAATATGAAAATTAAGTAAATGTTTGTATGTTAGAAAGTACACCGATTTCAAGAAAAATGTAGTTGAAAGTACAGATGAATTCAATTCCGGCCCTGATTCATAAAGGCGACCCGCAACGCTGTACTCAATAAGCTGCTGATTTACAGCATCAGTGTATTATATGTTTTATATTTTTTTGCTCATGTATTTTTTATTTGTTAGATTTATTTCTGTTATACCCTCTATAAAGTATTTTGATTTTAAGTTTAAAATTAACAAAGTTAGATATTATTCACAAAACATCCCGGGAAGTTGTTCAGGACTTTCGTGTCCTACCGATCTATCTCGCATAACGCCCTCTCTTCTACCGTTTCTAATAGGTCCTCATTTCTTCATACCTTTTCTAGGAGGCGACAAAGAGAAGTAAAGTGATAAGAAGCCTTTAATATATTTTGAGTTAGCAAATTAGGTATCCAATTTATAATTTTTTGATCATTTCTCGTTCGTAATCACTGTACAAGGTGGACAAATTTTGACGTCTGTATAGGACAAGTCGGTAACTATAAGAGATAAAAGAAATTTAATGGCTGCTTCTCGATCTCTTCTTTTTTTTTTTTGAGATACATATATGAAAAGAGGAAAAAATTGTCTTTTTAACTAAAGCATTGCTAGGTATGGTATCAATAAAAAAGTCCCTGAACAACGTAAAATTTGTTTTTTTTTTTCTAATGTTACAAACAACCAAGATATACATTCACCCAAAACTCGCAACTTTTGTTTATAACTCGAAAACAAACGACGGTAGCGAGTTAGCAATACCAATAAATTCGTCTCAAAAAAAAAGACAAAGAAGCCGCCATTAACATTTTTGTATCTCTTACAGTTACCGAGTTGTCCTATATAACTGTCTAAATTTGCCCACCCTGTACAATATACAACAACACTCACTTATAACGTATACGCTTATTGCGGACTCACAGTTATAACGTACCGTGTCAAAAGTTCCTGTCAACGGTAGCATATCTTTCTTTTTACGAACTTTGATATAACGTACGGAGTTTTAAGGTTCCGTCGAGTACGTTATAACCGAATTTGACTCTATCTATTATATTACAGCATACAAAGGTATGCTTTACGTATAATGATCCAAAAAGTTAAATACTTGTTTATAGGCTAAGCTAAACACGAAAGTCTAGAACAAAAATACTTTATTTATTAAATCATTGGCAAGTCTTGTTGTGGTCTCTGAATTAAAAAAAAAAAGGAATATAAATTGGATCAACAAAATAATACTCTATTCTGAAGGACCACTTTTGGTCGAAACGTTTTTACGAAACGAATGATTCTTAAAAAATGTCTATTGTCATGCGCCATCGTGATTTATAAAAGTATTGTCACTTTTAATAATAATTCAAAATTGAAATTCACTTAAAAATGTTATCAAATCGCCTGATGAATTTCTCCCTGGAATTTTTATTTTTCCATCAAAATAGGAAAGGAAGGAAGTGAATGAAAATTCGTATCAATTTTCAAACACTTAAAACTATGCTTTATACTGAAAATGGATTAATTTTAGACGAAACGTTTACTATATACTTTGTAAAAACATTTCATTAGTAATTCCATGCTAATAAGCTAAGCTATTAATTTAAAAATTAATATAAAAATCATTTTTAACTCGAATTAATTATACAATTAAAAAATAAATAATTAGGTTATAAGTACGTTAAATTAAAATTAGATATTGATCGAGTTATATTTATTTGTATCATAACAAACAGTATATATTCAGTTAGATAATATCAGACAAAACAATCAAAAATAACTGTTTAATCATGTGGAATTTCTAAAAATATTTTCTTGTTGAAAATCTCGACGGCGCAAAGCTCCAAGGAGCTTTCGAACGGTGGATAGGAAAACATCGGTGGAGCAGAAGGCAAAAGCATAATTCAAAATACGTTTGCTACGGGTCACGGTCGAAAGCACAGTGCACGCATGCGCCTGTTCTCGCACGGGTCGATCTCTCGCAACTTTACTACCGAACAGCGACGTCGGCAATACAACGACGCCGGCGACGCTTCGAAAGTACATACACAGAGAGAAGCAAAGCGAAGCGAAAGCGCGGCGCGGCGCTGGCTGGCTCGCTCGCTCGCTCGTTTCGAATGTGTGCTTTTGCCGCTCGGAAACAGACAACTTTCGCTTTCACAATCCAACTCGAATCGACTATTCTCTAAACTCTACCGTACAGCTGCTCGTTCGTTCGTTCGTTCGTCGATCAACGGCTTGCTTGCTGTTGAAAGCTGAACCCACCGACAAAACGGAAATTCAAACTCGATATACCTATGAACCTATAAAGGAAGGTCTAAAATCCGCTTTTTTAGGAATTGAATACGAATTTAATACGTAGATACAACAACGAAAAAGCTTTTAGATACTACATAAAATTATATATCCTTTTTCTTTATCATCGGAGAAATAAAGACTTTAATTTAAAAGATCGCCCCAAAGCTTTCAGTAACTTCATTTTTTTATGTACAGAAAATCAACTGTAAAAACTGCAATTCTTTTTACATTGGCCAAACGGAGCAAGCCCTAAAAAGCCGAATTTTAAAAAATAATAAATAAGCGTTCCTTAGATGCACAAAATATTAAACTTTTATACAATGTACACATGTCCAAACAGAACAAAAAATTAATTTTGGCAAGTCGATATCCTTATTAGAAAACGACCTTGTCAAAATTATTAAATCCCACAGTAAAAGCAGTAAATCTATAGATCGCGTTCACTATGGATAATGTATGGATAAGACATTTAAATATTATCTATCGCCTGAATTAATGTTTTATAATGTTTCATTGAAAGTTATTGTTNAAACATATATGACATTTATTTATTCAATTAATTAGTAATAATGTTTTATCAAGTGTCAAGCAACTAATCTGTTATGTTTAACGTAAGTGTCAAGCACCAAACATCAAAAATTTCATTTTTAAAATACCATTTGTTTTTTATTTTTCAGTGCCTTTTCCTGAACAATATGAAGTTGTATTTGAATAGCTTTTAAATTTACTTTATATTTCCAAAATACTAAATAGAAACCGTAGCGGCATGAAATGTTAGTATTATGTTGTGTAGTTCAGCACATGCACTGAGCAAGAATATACTTATACATATTTGGCGCGAAAACCATTTCAAAAAAAAAAAAAAAACATTAACCTTTTTACCGCGTCTTCGTCCAAGTAAAAGTTGTTATTTAAAGTAAACAATTAGAAACAGAAGTAGCTAAAATTTGTTCTGACAATCTCTTCTTCATGCCTGTATTAGTGTCGCATTGAAATTGGTTTAGCCGGTTTGAAAATTTACCCGTACAGACATATGTAAGCTTAATAATTGACGTATAAAAACCATTTTCAATAATTTGTTGTCTATGTGCACCAATATAAACTATACAATTAAAAAGTTCTACCCGAAATAACGAAGTTATATTAATTTTTCCATTTTTTATCATTCTCTACTTTTTGAACCGTTGATGGTGGAAGAATATTTTCTTCAAATTTAAACGGGACACCCACTGAGATGTAAACACTCAAAAAAGAATGATAAAATCGAATAATAATTAATCTGATTTATTGTATTAGCTTATACTGTGTGATCATAGTTATCCTTAATGTCTCTTTTTTCGACTTTTGTATAAAATAATAGTAATTTTCGAACTGTTCTTAGTTTTAATTAATTTTAAATAATTATCCTTTCGGATCTATTTATGGACTACAAAAAATCCTTTTCTCTTTTGTATTCGATATAAAACGATGTAGAATTAAAATTACTTGAAAAATATTATAAAGCTGTATAGGAGGTATTATGTGAATATTCTTATTGATATTGTAGATACTAATCATGCTACTATTAATTATTACAGTCTTCTAATTTTCACATGTGTTCTACGATATGCACATAATATTTACATACATATGACATAGTAACTACTTTATTTTTCATTAAGAACGGTAAGTACTGATAAAATTAGTCACAATTCTAGCATGATTTAGATGAGTTTGTCGGAACTTTTTCGTAACAATTTGCAAGGAATATGAAAACAGTTCATCCTGTTACAAAATAAAGGGAATATTAAATGAAATTAGATTTAAACTACCCTTATTATTTGGAACGAAACGAAACAAATGATTTTTTAAAGTAAAAAAAAGAAAAGTTAATCAAAAATTTCGCCTGCATGAAGAAGTTCCTTTAAATTTCTAAAGATTTCATGTAGGTACTTTATTTGTTTAATCCAAATCTAAGATTAAATTAAAGATACTACTAGGTATATTTCAGGACTTTTGCAACTATTCATTAAGTAGTAATCTCCGAAGTTAAGATTGTTTTAAAAATATTTCTTATTATAAATGGTGGATGTGCCAGGTAAAATTTTAAAATAAGTATTTAAAGCACAATTGTTTGTAACTGGTGTTCAACGTACATTTTTTAATAATTGTAAAATTACGTAAGGTACGTTATCAAAACATGGTAACTATTATTTTCTAATGCTATTTATCGACTGACATTTTTCAAAACGACTACCAAGCCTGCAAATCAAAAATTAGCAAATGTGTTTTTGAACTTGATTTATCGCAGATATCTTATATTAAGAAGTGTTTTCGTCCTTTATACGAGTTTACTTAGTCCTTCACGATTCGGTCCTTCCATCAATATCAATATTCAGTATTTTGAGAGAGCGCCTTCAAGACATTGACCTCACAAAAGAACGGAAAAAAGGGAACAATGCCCGCACGATTCCAAAACGGTATGAAAAATAAAATGTGCATTCCTGCCATTTTATCAAAGACAAATGCGTCACATTTCAAAATGGACGATCGAGTGCAATAGTGAAACGCGACGCTGCAATTGCAATGAGTCACCCTCGGGGCCTCCAAGGGTGCGAAAAATCCCAGTGAATCGAACTTTTTCCTCGTTTGCTTTATACCTCTCTATCTATCACTCCGCGGCACTTTTTTAATCCAAAATAGCTTTAGAAAATTGTTACGAATTTTTACACGCGATTTTTTAATTAACATCGGAGATATCTAATCTTGAAACAGAAATCGCAAATACAAAAACATGTTATACTAAATACACTTCATGCAAATTTTATATAAAAGTGCCAAAAACAAAATAAAAACGACTTTTTTCGAAAAAGTAGCTTTTTAATTAATTAAGTAATCCTTAAAAATTCCCAAAATTTATACTATTAGTATACAGCACACCGTAGTCATAGCAAAATTTAACCAAAACAGAATGTACCTACAAAGATAGAATAGTGGTAATATTTAATAAAAATCGTACTTTCATTAGCAACAAAATTCAAGAGTGATTATTAAAAAAAGTATATTGTTAATAAAAATTTCAAATAACATTACCTACCGCAACATCGCACATATTATTTTGCTCTCTCCGGGAAAAAGCTGATCTAATTGAAAGAAGTCTTTCGGAGTTACTCAGGAGTATGTACATATTTAAGAAACTACGTGTAAAAAGAGAGAAAAAACAATCTTCTACTGTAGAAGGAAATGTTCATGAAAATTTAAAGATACATTTATTGAAGACTAACCTTTTTCTCAGTCAACTTCTCGCAACGCCTCTGCTTGCAGATCTGATGGCTCTTGTCGTTTCGACACGGGGCACAATCACCACAATTGTCTTTCCTTTGGCAACCGATACATTCACCACACCGTTTCCGTTTCTTTTTTACCTGTTTGTCCGGATTACCTCCACTGATATCGTCGTGGTCAAGACCACCCCCGCCCGACAACGGATGGCCCTTGTATCCCGCGGTACTAGACACGGACGCAACTTGTCCCGAATTCTCCGAGCCCATTTCCATGTTGCTCGAGGCACCGTCACTTTCCGCGGAACTTTCCATACTATTAGCGCGAATTTTCCTACGTTCTTTCTTACGGAAATCATTACGAGTCGGAGAATCGATCACATTGTTCATGCCGTTCAGTTTTTTATCGAGTCCGTTATACAACACGTTATTATCGAGCACGGTAGACATCGGATTCTGAAACTGGGTCGGGTGGAGACTCACGTTCTGAATCTTTAACCCGGTATCTTGAAGGTTTGTCAAGTTATGACCTAACTTCAACTCTGACATACTGGCAGGTTCAGACTTGAGTACCGTGACCACCGTCGGTGGTGTTATCAGTTGGCTGTTTTGTATAATTGTGCCGTTTTGTGCTGGAAATATGCTAGCGGAATGTATGGTATTACCCAAGGTGGTAAGACTAGTTGTGGGATGGGTGTACAGCTGTATATGACGTTCATCCAAAAACTGCTGTTGAATGGACGGTATTTCGCGGGCTTGTATCGGTGCTGGTACCAGAGGGTAGTTTCGTGTATTGACCGCGCTTAACGTGTGAAAATTAGTGTTGAGGGTTGTTAAACTATGACTACCGGGACTAGCAGAATTAGGCGAAACGGGCGTTAGATTGGTTAAGGTGGTCAACGTGGTCGCTTCGCTTGCGGTAACGGGGGATGTTTCGTTAAAAGACTGAAACTGCGACTGGAATGAAGGAAGTTTTGGCATGTTGCTTTGGGCAAAAGCGTCCGCGAATGTTGTTATTGGAGTTGTTGGAGTGAAACTTTGACGCAGAGATTCCTGAGACGTCGAATCGACAGGCTTCGATTCCCAGGGTCTGTATTGGGGTTGCGAAGAGATTGCTGTCAAGCCGTTTTCGGTACGTTCCAACAACCTGGCCTCCCCATAATAATCCCAACTTGAAATATCCAATAAACGAGTATCTCCGAACAAACGATCCGACGAATATCCAGAAGTTGCATCCATATCCGCTGAAAACGTGGAAAAAGGTGGAAGATTGGAATTGGGAGCATCCTGTACCGTCGAGTTGGGAGTGGCGGGTGTCGGGGAGTACGTTTGGGCCAGGTTGTACCCAGTACCTAAGTTCTCTGGGTCCTGGCTGAGAGTTTCACTCATTTTGTCATCGTAACTTCAGTCTCATGTGTAGCCGATACAACATGTTGTTCGTTTGTATCTACCGAAGTTTGCACACGCCGTAATTAGGTTATTGTCATCATTGAAACCTGATTTTTCGCTGAGATAGTTGAAGGATTCACGAGGAAGGAAGGAGCTGCGTTTCAGCCTTTATATTTGTACTTCATGGACTTTGTACTATTATTCTTTAATACGTTATAAAAATATCATTTCTCCTTTACTTCATAAAAATAGCTATATTGGTTGCTGACGAAGATCTGAAAAAATAAAAAATAAGATTTGATACTTGATCATAAAGCTCAAAATAAAGCTGAAAATAAAGACAACAACCTTATTTTGGCCCACATTCTACATATTTACGACAACCACGTTCTAGATGCTGCTAATACTTCGCAGTGATTTGATAGCAATTGTAAAAACTTAATTATTTTTCGTAATTTTTAACAGTATTCCATACGTAAAATTAATATATTAGAAACTTACTGTACAATAATTTACCTATACTTTAAAAACCCAAGGGAATTTAATACAGGATTGTCAATGGTTTTCTGGACACTGCTTTTTCNCTAACTTAATATTTGTCGTAACAGCTGCCTATTTAAGTTCATCTTCTGTTCAATAGACGACGCTATACTTAAAGATAATACAGATGACGAAGCTTTCGTCATAATCGTACCTAAAAATGTTAAAGCTCACGTGCTAAATATTTCTAAAAGATAAATACAATTGAAAGCTCATGTAAAGAAACCTTTCCTAGTTCGTCCACTCTGCAGACGTCTCAACCAACAAGCATTAAAAATATACCTGTATTCAAAATTTCCGAGAAAATGAAATGTAATTACGATAACGGTAACGTTTTTTTGTCTAACTTAATATTTGTCGTAACAGCTGCCTATTTAAGTTCATCTTCTGTTCAATAGACGACGCTATACTTAAACATATATATAGATGACGAAGCTTTCGTCGTAATCGTACCTAAAATGTAAAAGCTCACGTGCTAAATGTTTCTAAAAGATATATACAGTTGAACGCTCATTTAAAAAAACCCTTCCTAGTTCGTCCACTCTGGAAACGTCTCAACCAACAAGCATTAAAAATTTACCTTTATTCAAAATTCCCGAGAAAATGAAAATTAATTATTGCAACGGTATTTTTTTCTGTCTGACTTAATATTTGTCGTAATAGCTGTCTATTTAGGTTCATCTTCTGTGCAATAGATGACGTCATACTTAAATATATACAGTTGAAAGCTCAGGTAAAGAAACTGTTTCGTGGCATTGGTCGTAATCGTGCCTAAAAATGTAAAAGCTCCTGTGCTAAATTTTGCTGTAAAGGTGTATACATTTGAAAGCTCAGATAAAGAAACCCTTCCGAGTTCGTGCACTGTACAAGTGACAACCAAAGTACATTAGATACATGTGTGCCTTTAATAAAAATTTCCGGGAAAACAAAAATTTCGGTAACGGTAAAGGTTTCTGTCTGACTTACTTAGTATTTGTCGTAACAACTATCTATTTAAATTAGTCTTCTGTGCAACACACTTAGACATATATAGAATTGAAAGCTCAGGTAGAGAAATACTTCTAAGTTCATCCACTCTACAAACGTTTCAGCCAAAAAAAACATTAAAAATGTGTCTTTAGTGAAAATTCGCTGGAAAAATTGATTACGGCAACAGTAAAGTATTATCTCTGACTTAATATTTGTCGTAAAAGTTGCCTATTAAAATTTATCTTCTGTGCAATTAAGCTAACAGTAATATGTAATACAACGCAAATTAAACTGGTATAAGACCATCTAATTTAAACAGTAGCATTATATAAACTTTCATAATTTGTGATAAATGTGTTTAAAAAATAAATCGCAATAATTTCGTACAATTCAAATAAAAATCTTTTATAGAAATATGTAGTGCTAGAATGTATTGTGAAAAGCTTCTCTATTTGATTCAGAAGCATTATTACTAAGGTGGGATAAGTTTCTGATATAGGGGTCGATTTTGCTTTGATTTAACATATTAATAATAAATTTATACAAATATAAGGCCTATTTAATCCTTGAAAACAATAAAAAGAAAACACAGATAAGAAAACGTATAAATGTGGATTCATTTAAAAACCAATTAATTTACGCTGTCAGTTAAAACAATTGATATTAATATTATTTAATTATTATTATTTTCCGGTCTTCTCAGTTTTCACTG